GGCTCATATATTTCTATTTAACAAACTTAAGCACTTAGTTAAAGTTGGTGAGCGTAAGGGGTTGAACCACTTTCGAAATAAGTCGATGGGCTACATGTAAGCAAATATAAAAGCAAAAGAAGCAACTTTTTTTATAAATCAACTTATCAGCCGGTCTACTTTTTTAAATTTTTACCCAAAAACCCTTGAATCTTTAAAGTGTTTGCATATCTAGGAGATTACTTCTATAATTATGAAGTAGATTATTCTGGCTGCGGGGCGGAACAAAATAATATTTATTTTTTTACTTCCAAGCATTGTAATCTTGCATTGTAATCTTAAATATATTTTTCTTTTGTTTTATATATTATAACATGAAGATAATTTGTTTTTTATTTAATATTCAATAGCTTTTAAATAGTCATTAAATTTTTTATGACAATTCTTAAATAAAAAGAATGATAACAACTATTTACAATGTATTTTATTATTAAATAAAATTTACTATTTCAACAATAGGAAAGGTGTCAGTTTATTAACATTTAAAAAATGTGTTTTGTTTGAAAATAAACTATCCATAATTGCTCGTTAAAAATAAATATACGAGCAATTATACTGAATATCTAAGATGTCAACGCTTCAACTGAACATGTAAATAGAACTTCTTATAATTACTCGACTCGATTCCTATACATAAAAAACTGCACAATTATACAAAGTAGTTAAACTACATTAATTAAAAGAAGTTTATTTATACAATATATTTAATTAAAATAATTTTTTAAAAAAATTATTTGGATATAGTTTGAGTATAAAATATTAACTGGAATAAAAGCATACAAAATTTTTACATTCAACACACTTAAAATATTTATAAAATTCACTAAAGAACATTAAAAAATCTCTAGACGTCATATAATCTCTGTACAATTATTACAATTGGAATAATTACAATTATTTGAAATGGAATAGTTACAATTATTAGATATGGAATTAATTATTAATTAATTTGGAGCAAATTCTTTGCTCTTGTCTTTTTCATCCAAAAACCTTGTTGCACATATCATTTAATAATTTATTACAATAAAGTTATACTTGTTAAACTTTTCCTAATAAATCGTGTCCATATGGCTTCTTTCTGTATCCTTTGAATGCGAACAATTTAAATGCTATCACCATCATACCAATACAGAACACATAGAGCAGCATACCCATTCGCATGTCCATATCGGAAAATACATTGCCAATCATACGCTTTTGTCTTAGTTTTTCTATAGTCGGTTGAAGTAATTCCTCGTGTTCTACACCATAACGACTGATGTATTCTGGATTGTGAATATTTTTAAGAAAACTCAAAACTGCGTTTTTGTCCCAATTCGTTTCCATTGTAGCAGGAGAGATCGGCTGTTTATAACAACCACTGCAGCTTGATTGACTAGGAAATTGTATTTTTGGAAATAGTGGATCTTCTGTAGAATCACCAGCGAGACGATTATTCACTTCATTATGTGCTGCCCATAACCATAGTACTGCATCGTCTTTATTCGGTGTGCTCCAGATTTTTCGTTTTGTTGCCATTGCCTGAAAATGAATAATATTTTAATAAAATGCTATATTTATGGGTTTATGGATAAAAATACAGTATTTTTTTAGAAACGAATTAACTAATTTTTAAAATAATATTAGTACTCATATTTGATTTTAAAATCGTTATGACGGTAATGACTATTTTACTTGCAGTCTCAAAAAATTATTTACTAATACTTAAATATAAGAAATAATTCTAAAAGCACTGATGATGGGTATTTGGTAATACTCGAAACAGCTGTATGGCCAGCCAAAAATTCAACTAATTAAAATATATATTATAATCTTTTTAATATAATTACTATATATAAATAATAATTAATATTAGCTTAAGTTTGTAAATTACGACATATATCAGAATGTAACTAAAAACTCTGATGACGATTATTATATACATGAACACAACTATTACAACTATTATATATAAATTTGTATTAACAATAATTAAAATTAGATTAAAATTAAAATCCACGTGATATATCTGAATATCATTCAAAGATATTTACAAATATTATTATTTAAAAAATTTTTTTAATTACTTTATTAATATGATGCTGGTATCGAAGGCAATGAAAGGGCAGACAAACTTGCAAGAAGATAGACCCAGAAAGATTCTGTGGTTTAAACATGGATAGAAAGGAATTCTATCCATTCTTATGAACGGCGCAGAGAAAAAAGAAAGAGAAAACTTTTGGGAAAGGTTATCAAGAATATCACAATCTAAAATGCTTTTAGGGAATTACAACCTAAAACGCTTCAAAGATTGCATAGCACAATCAAAAAATAACCTAACAATTATTGCGGAATTATTGACCGGTCACTGCAAATTGAATAATCATCTATCGAAGTCAGAAATCTAATCCAACTCAGACTGCAGACACTGTAGAGAAGAGAGAGAAACTGCATACGATGTGCTTGCAGAGTGTCCGGCACTGATGCACAAGCGGAAGAAACAGCTAGGAGGGAATTTCATGGATTATAAGGATTCAAGACAAGGAAAGATAGGCTCTATACAGTCTTACATTAAAGAAATCGGACTTGGAAAAACACTCTAATCCGATTAAGGGGCACAACAGATCTTGTAGGTCGCAGTGCACTATTCTTTCTTTTCAATAATAATAATTATTAATATGAAATGTAAGGCGAATGACAATGTGCTGAATATAAGGTAATAATCAAAAATGTCAAATTTTTTAATGGGTTTGATACCTGATACTTAGCTATACTTAGGATGAGCGTCATGTAGCGGTATTTTTATAAGTATATCTTTTTTTCGAGATTAAAATTTGCGCGTAACTATACCGTATGTATACCTTTGCCCGAAAAATGCTTGACTATTTTCGAACGTATTAAATATCTATATACATAAATATTACTTAATTGTTATTAATATTTTAAAATTTTAATTAATCAAAAATAATTAATTGTAAATTTAAAATTATTTACGAATTTATTGCAGTAGGTAGTAGATCAGGATTTTGTGCAAAAATATAAGGAAGAGAGACCCAAGAATTGAAGTATACCATCTGGCGAGTAGCGGCCAGTAAGAGAGCTTATGGATGAAGGTATATTTTATGTTTTACTCAGTTTTATTTGTAAAATACTTTTACTTAATTTCATTCTAAAAAACTGAACTTATATTTTAGAACTTAAATAATTACGAAACTTTTGCTGTATGCCTAGTACGAGAATAAAAAAAACCAAGTTTAGAAAAAGTCATATGTTAATGTACTTAATGAAAGCAACCATATAATTGTTTATATATATATTAATATAATTTTTTTCATATATAATTTATTGAATTACAGAAAAATGCAATTAAACAAACTTTAAAATGTTGAATTAACAACACATAAGCGAAAGGTCAATTACCTTATAGCTTCTCCGTAAGCAAAGAACTTAAGAATATACAAATTTAGCTTTAGCTATTGTATCTGAATTGAAAAAATTTTGAAAATTTTTAATAATTGTTTGTATAACAAATATTTCAATACAAAATTTAATTATTCTTGTAATAATTTTTGATCAAAAATAAAAACTAAGCTGATAAGTAAACATATTTTCTTGAACGTAGTACTCGTACATCTGCTTAAGGTAAAATAATGAAATATGCATTCTGTAATAAATATCAATGCCATTCCAGATACATTTATTCAGCTGTGCTTATATTTATGTGTGTCAGCTCAGGTTGTTGAAATATTCAACGCAAGTATTCTATAGAGAACAATCGAAATTCAATTAAATTCTTTCGTATGAATCTTGAACGTAGTGAGTATTATTTTACGATATTGTTAATACGTCAAAAAAATTAATAAATTACATTAATTTAGATAAAACTATAGAAATATTCTTTTCTACTTATAAAGTTTGGAATACAAACTTAATGGAGAACTATGACCTAATTTATTATATTACGCCCCTTATATTTATTCCGTTGAAACTTAATATACTAACTGTTTATATTTATACAATATATCTACGTACTGATATAATATATGTACATGTGAGTGTTAGAATGAAAGAGAGTTTCTCCATTCAGATATATTTAATTTCTGAAGGTCGCGGAAAAAATTTTTACGGTACATTATTTTTATTTAGCAAATAATTTCAATTTAATACCAATTCAGAAGCAAGTAATTGCATTTAATAGAATTTTAGGAAAACATATGCAAATATAGAATACACTTGTTTGTATATAACTAAATATTTTTATAATAATAAAATTACATCAATTAAGGTGCAAACAAAATTATATATTTGAATAATATATGATAAAATGGAAAATTTCTTATAGTAGGTAACTATTAAATTGATATAATATTAATTTACTGCATTTCATGTATATAAATATGTATGTATATAAATACACATTCTAATATTATATTACAATAGATTCTAGAATAACATCTTTTAAATTTGTATTTATTTACAGATTTTAACAAAATATTGAATAAATAATTCGAGAAAATTTTAACCATAAAACTGTTTTCTTCTTCTAGTTTTTATAATCTCATTAAATTCTACTTTTTATAAATATTTTTTTCGTTTAGTTAGATACTTTGTAAATTGATTGGTTGTTTTGTTTAGGGCCTTCGCGTGTTTTATTGATTCTATTGATGAAAGCAAAACAGACAGATAATACTTGTAAACGATAAAATATCTTACAATAGAACTGATTCGATATAGATAATAAATGAGCTGTCTCTGAATATTACTATTTCAATAATTCTAATAAGGCATTAGATACAAAAGGTTCCAATATGCTACACTCAAATCACTAAAAATATAATATATCTCTTGTTCCGAAAACAAATCTGTAATCGAAAAGTATTCACTCGATGTTTTATAAAGGCCAGTGTATTTACTATCAGAGTTCCTGATTACAAACATTAACAAAACCTTTGCTTTAGTTAGTTAATCAGAGTAATCACAGGGCCATCACACGGAATGCTTATTCCATTGTAGATAATCACGGTATTGAATCACATCATATCTTGATAATAGTGTATATTTGATGAAATCAAGTTTCTGGACGTCAACATTTCATCACCATTATAATCAACATTACAAATGATTTTCGATGAGTATGAAGTTTATCTATCGTACTCGATTGGATGTTGATGTCATTTACTTAGATATCCTTAAGTTTATCAATCTACCCAGGTATCCGTAATCCACACATGGTCTGCTTATTTGGTTAGATAGTCGTAAAATGAACAAGATTCTCCACCGATCTCGATTGAAAGTCAATTATATTCGTTTAGATATCCATAAGCTTTTTAATCCAATCAATTCTTCCACCGTAGACCATAAAGTCTACTACAAGAATTTTCAAATTATTACTCTGTGAGTTACTGAACATTTTTCACTTATATGAGCTGTATGTGTCACTTATCAAAAGCAACGGACCTTTATTTTTGTGAGTATATTTGCATTACGTATATTTCATGGTTGAATAGTATATCCGGAATGACATCTCCTGACATGTAATTTCAAGATAATAGTTACAGAATATGTTAATAGTTAGAGAATATCATAATAATCTTAAAGAAAATTTCGATGATGAAAATTATTTGAGTGCTGATTAATTATATGTATGGATACAGATGTAGGACTTACTTTAAGGTCTTGAAGCGATAAAAATGATCAGACGCCTTGAAGGCGTGAGCTTCTTCTTCAAACACAGCATGCCAAGCATCCAATCCGAAATGTTTACACCAGAAATGAGTTTAGTTATGTCAATATAACTGCTACTGAAACCATTTAGAACTTAAATTATAATAATGATTTTATATTCTGCTAGTTTCGGCTATTATTATTGGAACTCTTCCATTTTAATTGCAATGAAAATTTTAAAATATATTGTATAACAATAAATTATTGTTATAAAAATACTAATAAAAGCGGTTTTCTTTTCAATTATTCAATTATATTGTTAATTTTAATTAAGAAAATAACAAAGCAATTTAATATTTTATTGTCTAAAAATATAATTTACATACGTAAAATAGCCAGATGACATTGTCGAGATGTATTATGCCCTTTTCATTTCAATTAATGTTACTAAATTCTTTACTAAAAAAAACTAGTAAATTTTTTTATTTATACTATTCATAAAAAAAAATAATTAATTTGAATTTCCGAATCCATAAATTATGTTAATATACCAAGGATTATAATAATAATTAATTAATGAACTTAATGATTCAACCTATTCAAAGTATATTATAGCAGTCAGTATCATTTAGAGGACTGCAAGACAATAACGTTATTGCATTTAAGGTTTAAATACTAATTGTTAGATTAGTAGAAAGATTATTAAATAAATGAACTCAATACTTGAAATGACTTCACGTTGTCAGTAAGGAAATGCCTTTTAATCAACATTACCCCGCAATTAGCTATCGAACACACCTTACTATATATTTTTACTACAACCGTCACTAATGCTCACAAATTATTGAGCTCATTTCATTGGTCTGTCATAGAATTTTTTTATATTTAAAGTTATATAAAAAGTGCATACGTGCTCTCATAATAAGATCTAATTTATATTTGTATGTATTTAATTAACGTTCATTCGGAAATCAGAAAAAAAAGCACTACATTTTCGCAAGTATTAATTATCGTATAACGAGTTTATTTTTCCTTTTAACGTAAAAATCAGTATAGTACTTAATATGTCGTATCAAAACGAAAGCTAAAGTGATAAAAATCACTTCACTTACACAAGCAGTCAGTGCTTAATTAATTATGTTGAAGCTGTTTTGAGCTAGAGCACTTAAGCTCTTATACTCCTATTTAACTCGAGATATTTTCAAAACCCCTCTTTACACCTTGACTACATTATTGTTTATCACTTCATCAGACTAAGCAATAATTGACCTCAGATGTGCATATCTCCTCGAGGAGTCTGTAACCATTTTAGGATTTGATAACGCGGTGTTGGTAAGTCTGTCAGTTTTCGCAAATAATTTTAGTGCACTATCATTTATGTATTTTTTGATGGGATCAATCTTGATGTCCCTGAGGATATCATTCGTCGTAATGTACCATGGCACTTTGAAAAGTCTTCTTAACTTAAATTGAGTTAAATATAACTTTTAAAATAGCAAAACTACTATCTGAAGTAGTAATAAAAATGAAAAAAATTATGAAGTACTAACTAGCATATGTTCAGTCTTAGAATGCAGTCAGGCTACAATTCTTAGAAACAATTTTTTACGGAACTGAAACAACTATCAGTGACTGAAACTGTAAGGCTCATAAATATATTGGTTAAATTAAATTCTCTTTAATAGCCGTTTATTTCTAAAATATATTTATATATACTATGTATGTATTGTATATAAACTTATTATTATAAAAATGATCACTAACATTTTCTAGTGTTTGATTGTAAGTTTCTCACCTCTTAAATGGTTCGATACTCAACCTGTACACTCTGATCAATGTTATGCCTTAAAAACATAGTGAGCATTATACACATATGTAGCGATACATATTTAGTTGTAAAATTAACCGGATCTGCTTGTCATCTACTATTATGTGGCATTTCGCAGTCATCGAAACTTCATCCTTCGTAAGGATGACAAACTTGACAGGTTTTTAGAAGTACAATTAATTAGCAATATTAGAGACGTCTACAAAGTTTTAAAAATAATAGTTTGTAGATAGTCTATTTTAAATTTGATCAGATTTATGAAAACAACAAATTTGTTTTAATAAATAGAATATATATAATATCAGATCTATAACACTTAATACGCTTATATTATAAAATGGAAATATCTTTTTCAAAGAAAACAACCACATACGATTGTGCCTATTAGAAGTCAACCAATGCTTCCTCTCTTCCACTTTTACCTTCATACTATAAAATAATTAACACATTTGTAAATATATTTTTTTGAATGTATTGAAGATTGTGTTTTTTATGATTGAAATATTTTGCATAATAATAAAATCTTGTAACAATTCGGTCGTATCGACAGATAACTTGGATGGAGTAATAAGTCAAAGAATGAATTATAGACATAGAGGGGCAAAGAAGTTTGCTTGAAACGTTTTAAAACAACAATATTGATTAAAATTTTTTATGCTGATAATAGTAAACTTGTTTAGTTTGTTCTTTTATATGGCTCACCTTATTCCAATACAATCAATTATTCCTGTGTTTGTAGATACGACATGTGTATCTCATGCTGACTACTGCCCGGACATGGAGAAAAATTAGAAAGTTTAACACAGTGCAAAGTAAACAAAAAATTGATAAAGTCGAGCTTGATAATTAATTTAATAATCAGCAACATTTGGGAAAAAATGTTTATGTTAGCAATTTTCTGATTTATATTTTTCCTAAAATAAACTTTTAATATACAAAGCAATTATTTATATAAAAACAAATTTGCAATAAAAAAAGTCATACAAAAAATTAAATGATTAGAATAATGAGTCCGGCAATGAAATTGATTCGTTAGCATTAATTTAAAAAAATATTGTATAATTTAATTCCTTAGAAAAATAGCAATCAATATATGCATATATAAAATAAATGTGGTTAATTAATATATTAGGTATAATGCTATTTAAGGTTAATAGAACCATTTTTTTACATTCTTATATTACACTTCTAAGTATGCTGAAGTAGTGAGTAGTTATCTAAGCATGTTTTTTATTTTATTTATTTAAAATAGATACTATTTTAGTATTATATTGTTATGTTAGAATGAAATTGTATTTATGTTTATGTTTGCTTTGGAACAACTTGCGTTTAAAGCTACTAACAACATTCCATATCTCAAGATCAAACGATAGAACACAAGCCACATACAAGAAACACTCTCCCATAGCCTATAGTCACAAAAATATATTATATTGAGAAATCTGTCTGTGCACAATACATTTCTTATATAAACTTAATCATATTGCTAATCACAATAGCACTAATAATTGCAACAATAATTTAAATTAGTGGGTTTAAAGTAAAAAAGGGTTAAAGACACTTCCCTGATTGGTTGTAGTGCTAAAAATACAGAAAATCAAAAAGATTGGGGAATAGTGCTAAAGCTATAGGACTCTTTTGGCAACTACCAAACTCCAGCACAAGGTGCATTTGCAACAATCAGTGGCACAATAACTTATATAGATCTGCTAGGGTCTTCTGTTGCTAAGGATACTGTGTTTGTGCGTGTCATCTAGATGTCAACCGGTTCAGTCTCATGTGACATTTATAGGTATGTACTATTTTATAAAAAGTGCTTAAAGACATTCTATTTAAAATGTCAGCTCATACACACAAAACTATCGACACCCATCACGAAATTTTTACCGTGACATGTGGTTTGACGGAAATGGAAAACTCGTCTACAGTTTGTTAAGTCTCAAATGTTACCAAATTAATGGCTGACTTAAACAAAAATAAATCAATTTTAGGAACAAAGATGAATACAAAGATAAATACAAAGGTTAAAACAAACGCTTCTGATCCTCAATGTTTAACATTTTGTAAAACGATTAGATGGGATGCTTCTTCTAGAAAAGTATAAATTATTTTATTAAAGATATATTTGGATAATATATGTTTTTGGTAATTTCTGGTTATTTGATCAGACAACAATTATAATTATACTGTTTAGATTATAAGCAATTTTTTTAAAATCAACTTAACGACTGCATTCGAATTGTCTTTATCTACTCGGCTGATTTGAAAAAGAAGTGATTAGAAAAGAATATCAAATTTCGGTATATTGTGGATTGAAATGTAAACCGATTTATTTATAATCAAATAATCGCAGATGTAGTTTCATTAACAAACAATTTTCTAACACAGTCCACCAAAAGACACCATGTTTTTTTATTAGGTGTCTTAGTGAATTGGAATAAAATGTTTAAGAAATTTAATTTGTATATTTGTAAATTGTATAGAATCAATAAATTATTTAATTTGATTAAAAAGTTTTAACTTTGAGTCCCTTACAAGGAAACAGTTAAGAGATAGCATAAGCACTGGAGGAATATAGGGCCAATGTTGTAGTTTTGCTGTAGTGTAAATAAAGAAGAAGAAAATAAAGTTTGAATAATAGTCTGATCTTGTTTTTAAAGTAAGCAGATAAAAAATTAGCAAGTGGTTCTGGCTTTAGAAGTGGTTATACATCTTGAGAGCCATTTGTCTACGACAAATGTAGTGTTAAAATTGGACTGTTTGTAAGGACAGTAGAAAAACACAATTTTAAATAACAACCACATTCAAATAGATAGAATAAATAGATATACATCCAGGCATGTGGCTACAGAGGTTTTAGCATCTCAAAGGAAGGAACCAATATGAATGAATGGGCTACGTCGATATATACATGTGTATTACATGTGTATACATTTCTTAATAATGTAGCGTGACTGCTTAATAAGAAACATTTTTTTTGAATTACTGAAATTATTTAAAAGTACATCCAAAGGTAGGTAATTTTTTGCTAAGGTCTTGGGTACATTCCCCTATTAATTAAGATACATGGTAAAATAAATTATTTTGATATTTAAAATTAGAAATTTGTTAATATTTTAGCAAATTACTTATAGTTCATTTACTGATATTTATATAATCACATTATTTCCATTTCTATATTTAATGCGAACTGCTAGAATCGCATTAGTAAAACGTGCGCAGTCATTATTGAAGGCAAATGCCATTAAGCTTACTGAACCACAGCAGTATATTATAGCCATATACGGTATGGAGTATACATACTATACGTGTACTTAACTTAATAAATGTATATACGACATAAATAAAACAATTGTATGAGATCATTCTGATTAAGACATAGAAAAAAAAACCTTAAAATGTTTTTATATAGGACTCGAGTAATGATCGAGTAATAATTAAGACTTACTTGGAAATGTTCAGCGCAATTAGTGCACCCGAAAAAGTGTTTTATGTATCCATGCATAGCTTGTAGAATTTCCAGTGGATCCTGACTGATTTCAGTGCGTGCTGCTTGTACAGTCAAGTAATGGAATAACTGCCAAACTGAACATGTAAAGCCACGCGTGCTTGGCTGAGAACCGGTGCAACCCACGTAATGATTTGCTGAAAATATAGGTTTATATTGTGACTCCAACTTTGTCACTTCATTTTCGAAATCTTTGCCACTTAATTGCTGATTGAATTGCATCACATACTCATATAATTTTGTGATGAAAATTTTGCCATTAGCTCCTAGTGGATTATAACGATTCAAGACTGCCAGAAATCGTTGCAAAGCAAGCAAACGATCGTTTGATATCTCACCCACTTTAGACACTTCATTGAAAATGGTGCCACGAATTGCCATTTCAAGATCAGCTTGATACACTAAGTGCTTGTTTTTCTTCACTTCTTTGACGATCTCTTCATTTTCGTGTTGCCTTTCTGCTAGTAGTAGAAGATTCGCTGCTGTGCTGCTGACCACTTCTGGTAGCTCAGTGAAGTGCTGTGCATTCAGGAAACTACTTATAGTTTCGGTATAAGCTTTTGATGTGTCAGCCGAGCTTGTATAAGGAACTATGTTACCCTTTCGATCAATTGTGGCTATCTTATATTTTGTACTATCGATTTTCAGTTTTGCTGCAATTTCGTTATCAGTAACGCGTCTCACTTGCACATTGGACCAACGTTGAAAATTTATTATTGTCTCAACTCCTATAGTTGAGTTTTCTGGCTCATAAACAACTATCACGTATTCCTTCTGGCTACCCAAACCTTCAAATAATGTGTCAACATCACTCTCGGTCACATGTTGAAAATTCGGCCAATTCGTTATGTTGGAAGTGCGATTTTCGGCCACTAACCATTGTGCTAAGTTGTTTTTGATTTCGTTTAAATTTTGTGTCTCCAAAGGCGTACCATAATTCTGTGGACCAGCAGTGAAATGTGGTCCAATGTAACGCATTGTCGGATACGCCATTATTTCGTATTCGCGACATATTTCATTGTTCTCCTCTGCTGCACAATCAATTGCACATATCCGTAATACACTCCGCCATGGATACAATTCGTCAGCAAGTTTTTTATATGTTGGCGCAAAACGTTTGCAGTGCCCACAGTAGCTATTGTAGAATTCCACTAGAGAAGAATGATTTTGCTGCAGCACGATTTCTTTGAGGTTCACATTGGACAATATAACCACTTTGTCGCTGGAATTGTATAAACCTAATTCCAATGATTGCTGTTTCATAACCGCTTCATACTTCTTCAGAATTCCGCCCAAGGACACAGTAATCACAACGAAGAACAAAACAACAGCGAACAACTGTTGTACCACAGCCATGATATACGATCCAATATGTTTTATATTCCGGGTGTTAAGGTGATGGTGTTTTAGTTTACATAAACGTTATATTTCGTTATACATGTCCTTGACTATTGACTTTCTTTTTCTATGCCAATGTTCTACGACTGTTAAAACGTAATTTTTTCCACTTCCGTTGCACACAAAATACACTCGCTTACGCGTTCCCGCTATATTTATAACTGAAGTAGCACCAATCGATAGCAAAACTTGTTTCTGCATTGTGGGTAAGCTATTGTCGGTCATAAGTGAATTGCAAACATTAATCAGTTTAAGTCTGTAATAACAGAGATTATTCTGTGAACATATACCTAATATTTAGGTTATATATGAGCTTGTTATATATTTTTTAATAGAAACAGAACATATCTTTCTTTTATATTACTAATGTATATATATAATATGTCATATATTACTAATATGTATATTATATCCAAGCTTGACATATAGTTTCAATGAAAACGAAAATTATTTTGTAGTGAACATTTTTTTGTCAATATTCTATATTCTATTCAATATTCTATATCTAAGGTTGTTATATATGTTCCACTGGAAATAAAATAATAATACGTCAATTTATTTTGTTATTACTGAAGAATTATCAAATATATTTAAACTTTAATTTCATAATTATTGTTCCACTTGAACATATTTTAAATATTAATTCCTATTTCTTCATATCCCATTTCTTTGCTTCATGTGTGGCATTTTCTGTTTTTGTAAGGGATCCCAAGTATGTGAGTTCGATCTTTTCTATGTTTGGGACTGCCACAATAAAAATTAAATAAAACAAATACTCAGTTTAGATTGTCAACATGAAATATTGGATTATAGTATAAAAATAAATTGTTTGCAATTTATTAATGTTCGAGTTTTAATATACAATAATCATCAAGAATAAAGTCAACACAGTTTTGTTAAAACTATGTACAATTATATATGTACATAATATTTAATTTTCTTTTCAAAATTTTGTTGTGCTATTTATATAAAATTACTATAATGTAGTTGAGATCTTCTTCTTATTAGAAATGATAGTTTATTATATAAATTAAATTTAATACCTAACACAAACGTATATTGTATAAAATATTATGGGTATTAAGTACACTGCTTTTTTCATTGTAGGGTATTAGTAAAAAAAGAGAAAATTTTACTTATTTTCTTTAGTTTAACAGTCAGCTGATACCAGTTAAACTACAGAGTGCTTGCACAAGTCTAAAATTATACTGTTTATACCAGTTTAGTATCAAAAACAAGTGTTGGATAATGTTTTGTATAAATAAAATTTTCAAGAATGATATCATCAAATGTTGAAAATAATTTTTTTGTATAAAATCAATATGTATTTATAATATATTTTATAATACATATTATTATATCTTATTTAAAAATAAGATATATAAATATATAAATCCTTTTAATTAATTTTACAAAATTGAAAATTATCTGAACTTCACATATTGTATAATAAATATATATTGTAAAAATATTGCATTATTATATCTAATTTAAAAATAATATACAAATACAAATACAAATATATATATATATAGATATATTTTTTTATATTTCATTTTAATTGATTTTACAAAATTGAAATAATTTGAACTTCAAATAGTGTATAATAAATTTATACCGAATGAGAAAAATACCTTTTTATCATTTTTAAGCCAGTATATCTTTTTTTCGGAAACAGAGATATTCGCTTTTTGTGCGATAAATTGAATGATTTCGATTTGGATAACATGTAATAGATCTCGTAATGCAATAAATGTATTTAGCGCTGTTTTGTAACAGTTCAAAATAAATAATTTTTATTTTATCATCCTTAATAGTGAGAATTATAGTTTTAACGAATATTATAATTAAAAGACACCAGAATCTTATTCACACCTAAACAAAATATGTTTTGGAAAATAAATAAAATAGTCTCATTAAAATAAAATGTAGGAGTTCCAGTAATTGATATAATATAAAATCAAACATATTCGTGTGTTCTTTTCCAGTTTTATGCTTTGTATATTGGCATGATATTGATTTTCCTATATTTTTTTCATTTAATTAATAAAATGAAATTTTATATTGCACTTAGTGGAGTAGAATATTGGATTTATTTCAGCTAAATGCTGAAAGCTGTCGTTTCAGGATTTCTTACAGATAATTTTAGTAAGTTTAAGCTTTGACAGTTTTTAAAGAACCAAAATATATTATGTATAATATTTTGCATATAAATATTGTCAACTCTTTCCTATTAAAACTAATCCATCTATTCAGTTCTTTAAAGCCGATTATAACATAACAGATGAGTAAATCTAAGGGTTCGTAAAAACTCCAGTATAAAACATCTCACGTTCTAATATACGATAATATTCCGAAATTAATTTCAGGAGTAAAATATTAAAACAGCTGCTAAAAATGTTGGGTGGTATTAATAAAACGTTTCTGAAATTTATATACCACATATATGTACATATTTTATATAAAATTATAATTATTTTATAATATTATAATATGGTTTTCTATATTTACATGTCATTTTTTTAAATTTTCTCTCAACATATGTGGAATATTTCAGCTTATTCTGTTGGAAAAAAATGTTAAAGTTAAGTGTTTAGTATTATAAAGTTAAAAAAGTAAAACTTTAAACTGTAAATCTGTACTGATTAGTCAATAATTATTGGTCTTTCAATCTAGAATACAAAGTCCTTTTATGTTATTTAGCACATGTGCTAAGAATAATTAATATTATTAATTTGATATATACACTTCTATTTGATTCCTAAGGTGCAAAAAAATGCTTTCAGAATATAATTCTCTATCAAATGATATTTCAGTGATATTTTGAAATTTGGAACTATTACAACGATCGTTTCGATTGCATTGACCCCTATGAACGCGGCTCTGTCCGAATAATTGGACTATAGAAGACTGCAAAATCATCAGTATTGAATATTGATAGGGAGCAACAAATTAACATATGCAACAAATAATTCAGGAGATCTGCTTTAAACTAAATGCTATGCAGTTACGATATGTTTAAAATGTAGTTAAAGTATCAATCTGATTTAATCTCTCAATGTAACTGTATTCGAATTCACGATTAATATGACTTTGCGAAATTAAAGTGTTAATGAATTGACCGCCTCCATTGAGTTTTCCATTATTAGTTTGGGTATCAATATTACAAAAGTAAGAAATAAGATTTTTGTTAGGATGTTTTTTATTACTGAGAACTCTAAAGATTTATATTTGAGTTTTCGAGACAGTTGGGCAGAAACAATTAAGTTACTTTAAGGTATCCTGGATGTTAACTTTCTTACATTCGTCACTACTGGTGCATACTTCTTTAAACACTAATAGTATTCTTAAATTTTTTCAATATATCCACAATATAGTATTTTACTTTTTTTAGCATGTGTTCATCTAAAATATATTGTTCTGAGGCCTAAATAAAGCGCTTATTCGCTTACTCGGCAAGGTTAGCTGCTATTTCACTAATAACTTTAACTATTTCTGATTTGTCTATACTTTTGTGACAAGAAATTCAATATACATATCGCCTAGTCTAAAATTCAATCTGTTAATTGGGTCTTGCTCTGCTAAACATTTTTGGAATATGTCTAGTATAAAGATATTGCTTTAATGACTGCTTGATTGTTTACAAATAACTTAATTGTGCACTTAGTTGCTTCTTCCAAACAAACAGGATCTAAAGTTGGGACTTCATAATGCTCTACTAAGCCCAGTTTAGCGCATAGATGCTGGCTCCATTTCTTACATCAGCCTTCATTTGCGATAATTGTTTGGATCCTTTTATGTCGATATCAAACTCCAAAAAATTAGAATTAAAAATGTATTTTTGAATAAAGTTTCTTTCGTGGTTTCTTTCACAGCTTGTCAGAATGTTCGTCGGTAAAGACAAAAAACCTTTTAAATTATCTTATTTCGACGGTATGAGTTTAGTCTGTATTCTTCTATCTTAGAGGTTCTTGCGAGAAATGTGAAAACAAAACGACGAAAAATCGCCAATTGAGGTATATTGAAGGTTATCTGATTATCTGTCACTTCAGCCAACCAGCCATTTCAATGTATTTAGATACATTTCTGGTGTCCCGAATAGAAATAATCTATGCTTATTTTTAATAAAAAACTGTTAAATTATTAAAGAAATTAAACAAAATGTCATTATTTAATAAAAACTTTTTTCAATTAAACGTTCGTTTTTTAAGTTTTAAGGTTCCATTTGTTCCATCTAGGTTCCATTTCATTTTGACCACAAAAAAAATTTCTTATGGCATATATTCTTATTGTGTATTATTGTTTTCGAATAATATGTAATAAAAAATTTAAAATAATTTTAAAAAATTTCTTAACACCTTTAATTTTGAATACAAATACTGAGTAAATACTGAGTGAGATATTCACCGACACAATATATCTGCTTGATTTTGAATTAATTTCTACACAAAACTTGATGTGAGATGGTCACTCTATTAAAAGCTTATTAGAATAATCTTTCACAAATTCAAATTCAGTCTTCAGTCTTCAGTGAGACCCCATCGAACACTGTTTAAATTCCGCGAGTTGCTGTAATGTTGCTTATCTGTCGTCTTAATAGAAAAGAAACAAGAATATAAAAAAATTAATAAATTTTTTTAAACTACAACAAAAAAAAAATTATAAAGGAATCAGAAAAAATTGTCAAATAGTTAATCATATTCAAACAAAAAAAACATCAGCAACAATCATTAACGATCGCGGTAATTAATAGTAAAGAGAATATACGTACAAATGTATAAGCGATTATAAATATGTGAATATTTGCTGGAAGTGTGTTTTATATGCACATATCATTTAGTTCTTAGAAATATTTTAAGTTCCAATAATTGCTATATTACCACTATAAAAATTGGTTTAATATTTACGGCTATTTTATCAATAATTTTCTTAATAGGCTGAGGTGAGTGTTTACATGATTTTAAACACAAATATACATTTTATAATCATTTTAATTTGAAAAAAAAAACTCATCTCTAAAAGATAATGTCGTGGTATGATCTCTTTATATTTTTCGATATACTGGTATATTCGAAATTTTATTTTAATAGACTAAAAACTTTATATCAGTATAGATTTTTTTATACACATATTTTAATTTATTATACCTATTATTTTAATGTTATAACATTTTGAAACTATTTCACTAAGTTTTCCCATCTCAAAATGC